CTCGGCAACAATTGTGAGCACCATTCAAGGCTTCGAATGCCGATCAGTTAAATCTCCAAAGGGTTATTACCTTCAACATCAACAGCGACAGATCGAGACAGACAGATCCTATTCGAAGGCATAGGCATCGGCACACTTTGGATATCGTTTGCATGCCCTATTGTTCCTCTGTCGAACTTCGTGTTCCGAAAAGTATCATTCGTTCCAAAGGAGTTGCTGTTTGCCGTTTATCACAACTTTGGAAGGAGGGAAGCCCAGCGTGAGCCGGGCGGTACGACTGTTTCGATATATAAAGCGGTAATTTTGTGCGTCTGTTTGTATGCCCGTTTGTGCGTCCTCCCGAAGGTTACGTAGGCCGATGAAAAGTGTGAATGTCTCGTGAGCGTGGCGAGGAAACAGTTATGAAATGGGAAGTCAACAAATACTGTTCAGATTGGTCCTCTAACAAGTCGTAGGTAAGCGGTAGTGGGCATGTGGTGCACGCATTAGCGTGCGTAGCCCAACTGGTTTGTTAAAATTCTAGGTGATGATCGTGTGCAATGACCAATAGGGCAGCAGCAAAATTTTACTGAACACGGAAATTCCGATGGTATTTTGTCTATAGACCGATTATGAACTAGTTCTGATCATGAACTAAGTCTCTGCATGAGACGGTGAAAAATGGTATGATGTAGTCTTGTCATGTGTACTTATATATGTTGCATATGTTTAGTTTGCTATATATACTCGTGATTTTGGTTTTTTTGTAGATTTCGAATTCTTTGTTTGTTTGGGTACTGGATTGAATGAATGGCGTCATATTGATTAGGTCCGATAACTTGCGCGAGAAACACCTCATAGGCAATCACGGTTATAGGAGGCAAGAGTGAATATGAACGTGGGAAAGCTGTTGCTGATCGTCTTTTCGAGCGTGCCTTAGTTCGAAGAGGTTAGCTCTGTACTAGGCTGAAGAGATCAAGAAGAGGGGTCGATAGAAAGAACCTGGAAATAGATTCCCTGACCCTGATTTGTGGTTCGCAAACGACTCATAGCATCGAGGTACGGCTGCGCCTCCAACACCAGTGCTCCATCCTTTCTCCGTAGAACCAACTACCTCACCGACCCTGCTCACCGTGCACCCGATCGATACATTTCTTTGGACTTGCGGATTTCTGTCGTTTCGTTTAAAATGCGTCGGTTTCTCAAGGCAAACCATAGCCTGACAATCACTCAAAATTTGGATAACAAAGTAATGCTCTTTCGAAAGCAATGCACCGGGTGAATTCGAGTTAGTGGCATTACTAATAATGAAAGGTTCATCAAATTATGTTTCCTTTCTGGGTCCTCAAAGTGAATCATGAGAATCTTCGAGAAAGTATGAATCGAAAAGCACAAATAAAATCTATTCGAAAAAATGGGAACTTAAAGTGATCATTCAATGAACTACAAGGTTGTCTCGAGAGCTCTTACGTTTTTTGAGCACTCCGATTCTACAATGGTTTTCCAGTCCTTTCAAGGGGCTTATGTAATGTCGCACGAAGAGTAATGTGATTAGATGTTCAGATGAAAGACTTTGCACACACACGTCCATGCGGTATGGGTTCCGATTGGTAAACAACAAAGTCGAAGTCTCCCATGACATCTGTTTACGGCACTTTTTGATGTTTTATCCCACTGCAAGCAGAGGAAGATGGCTCGATCGGACTGACTCGGGCAACTACGCATCGGAAACAACTTTTGCTCAGAGAATCCCGTCTGCCTGGATTTGAGCCTGCTTCTTATCAAAGTGAATCCGAATAAAACGACTGGCTCTATAGCCTTTCGGTAAGTTTCTGATCCCTGGGTTCCTTACATATTAACTCAGAACACGTGGGGAGTACTGTCTACAACTTCTATCCCTCTTCCGCCGAACGGACTGGTTGAATAACATTATCACTAGATATGAGAAGCGGTGCCTTTACATGAACCATATGCTCTTGACTAGGTCCGTCACAAAGGGGTGGACCAGATGTGAGATCAGATCAAACCAGGAAGGAATGCAGTGCGTCTGCGAGCTCACCACTGGGAGCTCCTCCAAGCCACCGTGACAAGAGAGGTCTATCACAATCAACTACGAACTTCTACGGAAAAGCCTCATCTATCGTTTCCGGAACATGATAATGTATGTCTGATACACGATAATCGAAGACTACACGCATCGAGGACAGAGCTCAAGATCTTGAAGCTCTGTGGGAAATTCTATTGCACTCTACGCAGAATTCTCAGCTAGTTCCCTCCGACTTGCACCCGTTCTTATCTCTCAGCAGCCACTTCGCGGGTAAGAAGTACGTTCATCAAAAAAGATCTTATACCTGATCTTAGCTCAAAACTGCAGGATCTTCAGAAGTGAGACAGCTGTCATTGCCTGGTCGTTAGCAACAGGTTGTTGATAATAATGGTGCATGTAATGCACATTGATATTGCATTTTGTTGAAGTAGGCCTCAATTGACGTCAGTCCATTCATGGTCACTAAAAAACGCAGAATGAATTGAACACGGATAAAGGGAATCGTGCTCGTTTTCAGTTCGCATAGACAGGACATCGAGTATAGATCACTGGTTGATTCAATATGAACGTTTTGAAGGGTATCCTATTAACCATTATATTAACCATTAAAATATGCTTGGTACAGGTATGCAGCAAAGGAGAAACATTTACCTCTTTAGAAATCCACCCTTACTGGCAACAATCAAATTTCTCCTTACAGTAACAGATGCGTTATAATGCAGCTAACAATAAGGACGAAAGTAACGATAACGTTACCTGGAATTGTCATTCCGTTTCCCACGTTTTTGATCCAGATGCTGATAAAGGCGCACCGTCCATAAACAAATATCATTCTTCCCCAGTAACTGTAAAAAACCACTATCCGGGAAAGTCAGATAGAAAGGGCTGCACCTTATTCACCCGTTACGTGTAACTTATTTGAGGCAATTGAAATGAAATCTATCCATCGAGCACACTTTGAAGAACATGGTATTGGGACATTAGAAAGCTGCGATCGCTGTGAGAGCGTAGGCAGACCCGTTCAAATCACTGCGCGTTCCCTATTGACACTTTGTCTGACGCTCTTTTCGGAGAGCAAGAGGTGGAAGCCTCAGTAGGAAGTACTCATATGTCCTACTCACATAGAGAACTCTCCATTCCCGTTCGTACCCATAAACCTACTGACCTCGACCTTATTATACGTTATCGGTTGCAACTTGATTGGTCACTAAAGTGTTAGGTGTTCAAATTAGAAGCTAAATGGTCGTCGAATACAGATTCCACGTATGAGCAGGAAAAGTTGAGATCCAACATATGCAATATACTCCTTGTAGCTGCCTCCCTTTGCGGGCTAAGTTCGTTCACCCTAGTTCAAAATACATGGTTACTGAAAAGAAACTCCCAATATCTTTCAGATGGAGGAGGCTCATTAGACGCCACTTGCAATCATTGGCACGCGAGAGATGGAATGGCGTTATGAAATTCCTTGGGATTTTTATAATAAACGAATAGAAAGCTATAAAACGATGTATTAAAGAAGATTGAAAAAAAAACGAACCAGGAAGAGGTAGAGTGGCCAGTGGTGCTAGAGATAGGTCTACTAAAATGGTCGGTATTAAATTCGGTCGTAATCCTGGGTGACCCATAAAGAGGAGCTCGTCGGGCACGGCTTATCGGAGTTATCGCGATGGAAGAATGCCATGCAGGAGCTTCATTGTGATTCCTATAGTATGTAGAAATCCCACTTCATTTTCGATCTCAAAAGACAGTGTAGGGTGAAAAAATGCAGAAGGTTGTTGACTCGCTTAAGTTGAGACACACATCTCTGCATCGTTTTCTCCAGCTCAAAAATTTTTACGATAAAACCATCTCCCAACAACCAAAACTTTCGCGTTTCGGATAGAAAGGTCTAACGTGCAATGTCTCACAAGTTTGCTAGCAGAACAGTAAAACAACGTTTTCTGAGGAAGTCACCGGCAAGGGTGAGACGCTCATGGTTTCGTCAGTGCCTGCGGTAAAATTGACAGAGACCTGTACTCAAAAGGCACACTGATGGCCGTAATGGAGCACTTATCCCATTTCGCTTCCTGGAACAACTCGGGGTCCTCTCAGCAGGACGAGCTTCAGCCCGTAGAGCTGAGCTTGTCCAGGAGTGGTGCCGACGCTAGCTGCCCGATTTCACCAGCAAAACGGAATGACCATCCCAATTTCCAGATCTTAACTCCCTTGACTCTTCCGTATGAGCCCTGATTAGAAGAGGACCTGTCGGGTTTGCACTCCGAATTTGGGGTCCTAGATAGTAAGGCTGGGAAGAAATGCAGGAGGATACCTGCGTGTCACATGCGAGGTCTTCGAGAGTAAACTTTGGGCCTGTATCAAGCCCATTAGTGATGTTTAGGAATGTGACTGTAGCATGTTGTAGCACATGATGTAAGCAAACGTGTATATAGATTCCATTGTAATTGTCAGCTGATAAGATTCAAATACATTGCTATGAACTGGCGCCTATAATTTTGGGATACCTTGTATATGGCAACCTTATAACTATTCATCGCAGTTGGAACAACCACCCTCCTGCAGCATCCCATCTGGTGTGACTTTCCTCAGCTGTATCGATTCCGACATCAGTTTGACAACATAAAATCGAAATCTGCAATCTGACTATCAACTTGGCTCAGATGATAGCCAAGACCTGAACAAAAGAAAAAACTGCTCTCCAAATGGACACTTAGTTCTTCTTATTCAAAGAAAGAGAAAATTGAACAACGTTTTCTCCCTCTGAATGAATTTTTTAAGCACTTTGCCCAAAGGAATTTAACAAACCAAAACGATCCACTCTCATTGTTAGAGATCCTTTCGACACACCGCACACTTCCACACCTTAGAGGCACCGTTCACGATAAATTTAGGGTACCCTTTTTGACGGGAATTGATAGAAGTACTCTAGAATAAGCGATAACAACGAAACAAGCGCAAAAAACGATGAACAAAAAGAAATACAAAGGGTCAAAAAAGAGCTCGAAAGGGGGTTGGACGAGTTTCACATTGAAAGAACGGCGGTTAGGGAGTGTTCGGGCGAGTGCAGGCGACGCAATGTCTGCAATTGCAGACAACACACCCTAACATCTGATTGGATTTCTCCCTGCTATTATTCTGCTGAACTGCCACTATTCTTCTCATCGACCGAGGGGCGGGAACGCGATCTACGGCAACAACGGGACTGCCACTATGCCCTGGACGTCGAGATTGGGGGAGTGAGAGGGTCCCTTCTACAACCCATGGGGGCCGCTGAGTATTAATAAGCTAAGAACTCAATGACCATTTTTATCGTGAACGGTGCCTCTAACGAAATTGGCTGTGCGACATTACTATTTTATCATAGTTGCTCGCCGAATTCCAGCTATACCTACCAAGACCATGGCAAAATTGAATTTAGGTTGAGATAGAATTGGTTCATGATAAGTATCTAGTAATCAGAATAGGATGATTTCTCAACTACGATTGATGACAGAATTAGTAAAGAGATACCAAACTTCCACGTAGTAGTACTTTTATCTTGAGTCTTCTCGAGTCTTGAGATTCAGAACAGTTTTTGCGATTGTGGAGGAAGAAAAGTTTCAGGCTTTGTAGATAAGAGTCTTGATATCGATATACTTCTTGATCTTACAATGTGAGTTAATTTTTGAACAAATGCCAGAAGAAGAAAGAAGACAGAGAAACAAGATTTTATCGATTACAACAAAACAGTGTGAAGACGAAAGAACATCAAGTAAAACACGGAATCAACAAAACTTTAATGATTTTTATTCTAACTTGAGTCATCAGAAACTGCCAGTCCCCATGTTTTTCAGTAGAATTCTATATAAACGGCAGATCCCATGTATGAGACTGATGGAAAGGTTATGAGGAGGGAGAGTGCACTCAATGAACGATACGGTCGGATGGAGAATTAGCAGCTGATGACAAGGATAGGAAGTACGTACGTAGAGTGGAGAGATCGAATAGGATGTCCCGTCTTTTCTAGGTACGTCTCCCCACCCTGCGCTCCTGTGCTTCATTGACGACGCGTTCTATCATCAATTTGCACATACGCATACTTTTTTCATTCCCAGCCAAACTGAAAANCCGCTGTAAAACTGGATTTCCTGCAGTGTTTTCGCTTTTGGGCCTAACACTGCACCAACAATAGTGTCTGGAATCTGAAAATAAAGCAGTTATTGTTAATAAATCTCGACACGAACTCAATAGATGAGAGGGCTAAAAGTTGTGAGGAAACTATTACCAATTTGATGACCAGAGTTAAAGGCACGGTTCACGATAAAAAAGGTTACTGAGTTCTCCCTTTAGGAATACTCAGCGCTCCCATGGGTGGTAGAAGGGACCCTCTCGCTCCCACAATCTCGGCGCTTAGGACATAGTCCTCGCCCCGTTGCCGCCGTAGTTCGCTTTCCCGCCACTCGATCGGTGTCACGTTAGACGAGTGTCGGGGCAATACAGATTGCCATTATTCGATCTAGGTCCCACGCACAATCAGCTGATCGTAGAGGCGATGTTTTTCTCCCATTCTTTTTTCCTCTGTTTTTCTTTTTGCTGTCGCGATCTCTTATTTAGTTTCCTACTCGCAGAGGCTGAAAAAGGTGAGCTACTTTTGTTGTTACTAGGGTTTTTTTGTTTATTTATGCTTATAAGTGAATGAATTTTTGCTTACCATTGTCCGTTATTCGCACCAGGACCCACACGCGCGCAGTGAAACACACTGTTTAGCTCGTCCGGACGCCCCACTTTTCTTCATTAACGGTTTTTCGAAGCATTTTTTACTTTGGAAACACCAATGCACGCAGTTTCTTCACCTTCTTCACTAGTTTCGATCTTGTCTTCCATTTTTCACCATAATCTGGATTACCCAAAATTATCGTGAACTGTGCCTTTAAGTCACTAAGACACGTGATGAAAAATGCATCCACCACCTTGATAGATAGATCACTAGAAAAACAAAACTTTCTTGTTCAAAAGATACCTCTAGTTCGATCGCCTCATTGGAAATGCGGTGCTCTTTCATTACAGTTTCTGCAAAGTTTTTGCCATTCGCTGCAGCCCCAGATCCGCTCCTCAGCACATCCACCAGAAGGAAATTGACAGCAGGAGGCTGAACGTTTAGCCAATACTTTTAGATTAACGCGGTTGAGCTTTACAGAAAAAGTCTTTATAGCCTACTCGTAAATGGAATAAGGCCGATTTCGATGTCTATGAATACGGAACCTACCAACCTGTTTACCACCGTCATGTCGTGGTGTCTCTTGAACTGAACGCATCTGGGCCATTTCTGCAACTCCATCGCTAAGGACAAGGTCTATGATGTTGTACTTGACGAAAACCTTGAAATAATCGGTGGGTAGAAAGAATTTCATAGGTGGCCATAATTTACCTGCATTGCCTGCATGACTTCAGCTACACTGGCCCTGTTGAAACCAGATGAGTGGAGAGTAGACTGAAGATTGTTGAAGAAGGGCAGCAACTAAAAAGCAGAACTTACTCATGTCCTTCCAACTAGGCTTAAAACGGGAGAAAAATNCACGCCTGAAAATTTGTAGGAAACTGGGTGAGTATGAAATGTGCGGTTACTCCAATTGACTCATGGTTACAACAGGACACTGCGCCTTCAAAAGAAATGGCGCATTCAAGACTTATAGTAAAGGTTAAACCAACAACTGGCGGGTAGCCGTGCGTGGCGTACTGGATACGATAGAACTGGACCCCAAAACCCTCCATTTCGCCTTCGAAATTGTGTATAAGCCCGACAACTTCGGTTGAAACGAAACCCTCCTTACAAAAAATGCAGACCCCGAAGAGGGTACAAAACTCCCTGATGGGTTCTTAAGTTCAGAAGTTCGGTATCGCGATCTGTAAATAGCTTGGTTGGAGGTAAACATTAGGCCTACGTATCATTGGTAATTACAGAATCAACCTAACAAAGAGAGACATGCGCCTACAACCGATACACACAGGCAATCGACAGGAAAGCACTGACCAGTGTAATTGTATTAAAGGCACAGGTCAGGAAAAGGTGGTTCCGGAAATTTGCATATAGT